TCCCCCCCCCCCCCCCCCCCCCCGCCATAAATTTTATTAGTATTGGTGTGGATATTTTCACATTTTGTTGAAATTATTCTATTAGCGATATCTCTGAATTTAAATCACCTCTCGAAGATTCTTTCTTTTCCATTGATTATTAATATTCCTTGCTTACAGAAAAGTTCGACACAAAAATGTTGTCCAGTTCATAGGGGCGTGCACCAAACCCCCAAACTTGTGCATAGTGACAGGTATGTCTCAACAATACCTGTATCCTGGTAAAATGTCTTAGACAGCAAGCTTTTGCGATTAAGAAATTGAAATTGAAACTTAAAATTAATTAATTAATTTATTTTTACATTCTAGCTGAGCATTCATGCCATTTTTTTATTGCAGAATTTATGTCTGGAGGAAGTGTTTACGACTATTTACACAAGCAAAAGGGTACCTTTAGACTTCCATCTTTACTCAAAGTAGCAATTGACGTGTCAAAGGGAATGAACTATTTGCATCAGAATAATATAATTCACAGGGACTTGAAGGCTGCCAATCTTTTGATGGATGAAAATGAAGTATGATGCTCAACAATTAAGTTCTTCAAATGTGTGATTTGTTGTTATATTGCTAATTTTCCATGACTTCACAATTGGTTGCTCATTTTTAAGGTGCAGTTTCATCTGCATGAAAAATCAGACTACTTGAAAATTCCTCCTTTACCATAAAAACAATATGTGCATGTTTGGCAAAGCTCAAATTTAATTGAAGCTCGTCAAACATACCTTTTATCCACACATTTCATAGAACCCACAACTCACTAACTTCTTATCTCTACATTTTGTAGGAACTGCCAAAGACGCACTATAACTTGTACTTTTGATTTCATACCCCTTTTAACTTTGAAAGCTGAAGTCCAAATTGTCTGGCTATTGTTTTTGTGTATTGAATTTAATATGAGATCATTTGGTTTCTTTGATTTCTTTTTCTGTAGTCTGGCAATTCAGTTTCCATGCTATTTCCATAAGCTTTATGCATTCTACATGCATCGGCATCTTGCGCACTATCTAGTTAAAAGTCTTCAGAAATTTTGGCCAGTTCTAATGATGTTTTATTCCAGGTTGTTAAAGTGGCAGATTTTGGGGTGGCGAGAGTGAAAGCACAAACTGGTGTGATGACGGCTGAAACTGGGACATATCGGTGGATGGCTCCTGAGGTAAACCTTTATAGGCCAAATCCTAGGAGCCTTATAATTTGTTCTTCAGATATTGAAGCCTTGCAGTTTCAGGTTGATTGATGTGAGTATCATGATTCTTAGTGTTTGAATCTCATCGGTCTGGCAAAATTTTTGGGATTCTTTTGATTTCAGCTGCAACTATTTTTCTTTCATTTTTATTTGTTCGCTTTAAACCCCCTTTTTTGGTGGGGGTGGGGGTGTTAAAGTTAGGTGACTCCATACTTGCTTTAATTTGTAGGCCAATCTCTCTGTGTGTTACTTTATGTTGAATTAACCTATCATTTATTTGCATAATTATGTTACATTTGGAGATTACAATTTGTCATGTTGGTATTGTGGGTTATTTCAACATTGTTTAAATATGTGTCTTAACTATTCTCTATTGTATTTATAATTATAGTCTACATTATTGAAATACTGTTCAACAAGAAACTCCGCATTTTTGAACTTATTAGCGGGTTGCTATTAGCGTCATCTTTTGTACTTTTGAGATGTGGTGAGGCATTTCTACATTGTTTAAACGTGCATCTTGGGGATTCTCAAGGGTAAATGTCTTAACAAAGTATTGGCTATAGTACTCAATGATCAACAAGCATAGATGATGGATTTGGCTTCTTCGTGGATACTTCTATGGCACATTTTGTAGCTTTTATGTTTCGGAAGTTTATGGATTAATTAAATTCTGAAGCTGATGTGATTACCCTTGTGCTATGTAATTATGATTTATCTTAATTGTTTATTTGAAAGAAATTAGTTGGTTGATTTGTATCACTAATTTTGTTTGTACTGTTATTTTGCGCATAATGGTGGGAAATTAAGCATGCTTTGCTATTGAATTTTGTTCTTTTTGAAGGTTATAGAACATAAACCCTATGATCACAAGGCGGACGTTTTCAGTTTCGGGGTGGTTTTGTGGGAATTGCTGACTGGAAAGGTATATTTTGTTTAAAGGTTGAGATTAGCATTCTTTTGGCTTTGCTTCTGGTTGAGCTCGTAATATTTTGCTCCAGCTTCCACACGAGTACTTAACTCCTTTACAAGCAGCAGTTGGAGTAGTGCAAAAGGTAAATTATCTCTAGTATAGTATGTAGTCTGGTTATTTGACTTGTAAATTAGCGTTTTTCTGCATGAAGCATGAAGCGGAAGTTTTCTTGAGAATTCTCTAGGCACTTTTTGATTACTTATTTCTAGGGTCTGCGCCCAACTATTCCAAAACATACTCATCCAAAGTTTGCTGAGCTGCTTGAGAGATGCTGGCAGCAAGATCCAACTCTGAGACCTGACTTTTCCGAGATAACAGAACTCTTGCTACAAATTACCAAAGAGGTAGATTACATCCATCATGACTAAATGATCATTATGTTAATTGATTAATGAATAATGAGCAACTATATATATATATATATATATATATNTTATTTCGAAACATGCATAAATATTCTGCTGTAGATTGCTGGATGACACACAATGTATGTGGAACAGGTTGGAGATGATGGGGAGGATCGACGCAAGGAGAAATCTGGAGGATTTTTTTCTGCCTTCAGACTTGGACATCACTAAATGCAAAAACTGTTCATCAGAAGACTAACCTCTAGTTTTTGGTCATTTACTCCTCCCATTTCTGTTTGCAGTGTACAATATTTTTTTTTTGTACAACATCTTATTCTATTTGCTTCTTCCAATGCAAGGTTTTGCCAAATTATTCTCTCCTTTATTCTTCTAGAATAATAAAAATGATGATGGTGTTCGTTTTTTTTTTTCTTATGGGGATATTTGTCCTGGCCTTTCATATGTGAATGCCTTTGGTCGTGTTTGGAAGGTTGATTTGCTCGAACTTCTCTTTTCTTCCCGTGCTATATGTATACCTTGGCATTTCGGCTTTTATAGAAAATTGAAATGAAACATACTGGATTCAGTACCTTGTGAATTATTAGTGGGCAAAGAAGTTGTTCGCGCACCCTTTACGTGAAGAGACGATATAAAAAATGTCTTCCTAATAGCGAAATTGTCCTCTTTTTGTGTTCGTGTATCTACATTAAACCTGAAATATGATGCTTTGGTGGAATAGGGAAGTGATTTTTTACTGTAAGATAGTTAAACTGTTTATCTTAAACTTCATATGATATGGAGAACAATGCATGTGACAGATACTGTTTATGATCGGAGTGTCCATATTGTGTGGAGATGTGGATTGCACCAAAAAGTGTCAAAGTCTCGCAAAAAAATATTTACATGGCAAGGAAAAAGGCGGAGGATGTGCACACCATCCACTTGTAACAGGTTTGATAGATGTTCTACATTTAATTTTTTATGACTTTTTTTTTGATATGTAATTTTTTATGACTTACTTAAATACTTTCATTGTAAAAAGTGAGAATTTGTTATAAATTAGAGAAAAAAAGAGAGAACTAGAAAAATTAATAGATTTATTTGTTTTATTAAGAACCACAATCCTATATTTATAGTGAAGGATTATGGATACAATGATAATAAAATTTAGGGCTGTAGAGGTATAGTTGTCATTTACTAATAATCGTATTATTTTCAAAGCTCTCTTAAATGAAACATTACAAAATATTTGTTTTGTTAAAACTTTATTGAGAAATTTCAATTGTACAAAACTTGAGATAATGAAAAAGAGGAGTACAATTGCTTCCCTAATTTCAATTTTTGTATCAATTCATTCTTGTCATGTACGTCAACGTCTTCAAATAAGACTTTGCATGTGAGAGATTTATCAATCTTTGATGACTGTAGTGTCATGATGATTCGAAAAATAGCTCTAGTTCATTTTCAATAGTTTCATATATGTCAGAGTATTATTTTGAGTGTTAAATTTCTTTTAGATTATGGACATTCATTACAAATAGAATATGTCTCGTTAAAACCTTATTTGGAAAAATTCCGTGGAAAAAAGTTCATAATGAAGGAAAAATTGTACATTTATTTTTTTGAGTACGCTACAAAAGTTTCTCTCGTAAAAAACCTTACCATGAAAAATCAACAGAACAAAACCTTGATCAAAAGAAAAAAAGTATAACGCGTATTTACTCTCCCTCATTATAATATCACTTGAATTATGCGTCAAGCATATTAAATCTTTCAGAGATAATAACATTAATAGTCATGCCACATAAGTTGACTATTAAGAATTTCAAATTTCATGCAACGTCATTGTAACATGATATGGACTCATGATTTCATTCACTACGATCTTTGCAATATTTACTACGTTGAGAATCGTGCATTGCATATTACGATTTCATTTTTCTCATTTTCCTTTCGCATAAGTATACACCTTTAGATTTTCTGACTGCAAGTTCAAAAACTTCAGGTTTCTTTAGTAAATTCAATTTAGGATTGCGTCCAATTTATTTGGCCAATCGTATGCAGTATATCATATACAAAAGCATTGTCGACAATTTTTTTTTTCTTTTTCAATTCTATTTCTTTTGTATAATAACATTACTTGTAGAGATGTTTCAATTTTCAAAAGTATACGCCTCCTTAATGAAATCATCTTTATTAATTGCTCCATTTTCGTTTGGAGATATTTTGTGTATAGAATCGAATATCATCAAGTTTTAGGCGTGCTATCAAATATCATATTAACTAATTGTCCTCTAGGACATTAATTCGAGTTAGAGCATTTAAAGCTAATGTATAAGATATTATTGATCTCTTTGGTCAGTAAATACATATAAATGAATTATATTTTGAATGTCTAGTTTGAATGATCTTTGCGAGGATTTAGATAATAATACATTTGTACATTATTCTCGATTTCTTAATTCCTCTCCCTAATGTTGAGAAAATTGTTCAATAAAAATTGACAATCAGGAAATTGTGTTACTAAGAGGGTATTTTGTGAGGATTAAAATTAAATTTTTAGTGGATTATGATAGAAGGTTTTGAAATGTATGGTTGAAAAGATGTAAGACCCATGAAAAATGTGATTAATATTAATTGTTTGATTTTAACTTATATTAAAATCAAATTTTAATCTGGCCCAAACAAACCCTGAGAAACGCGTTCAAATTATGCATTTCTTCTCTACATTCTTCCTTTACTTTTCAATGCAACGTGGTGTATTAATTGTGCATAAATTGTACTATCAAATAATTAGAAGAAATCAGGCTCTACCCATAAGAGAAATTATAATAAAGACAATTTGATGTGGCAAGATGCAAAATAGCATTCCCTAAACAGAAATAGAAAGTACTTTATTCTTAATTAAATAAATTGAAGGCATCTAGCATGCAATATTTTTAAATTATTTATCGACGTCCTAACAAATACTTATTAAAATATTGAAATTTATGTCCATTAGCATTAACAAGACGCATTCTTGATTATATAATCTGAAAATTATGCTCATAATTTGAGCAGTAATTATACAAACTTCAAGTTGCAAACACCATACAATAATCTAGTTGATGTATCAAATCTATTAGATACCAATAATATCTGTTAGATATTTTTCATCATTTTGCATGTTTATATTTTGTTTTGCGAATATTTTGCCGCTCCGACTAATGTTTGCTGCTTCACAATGGGGATCGACCTGCCCGGTCATGTCGCGGGGGTCGAGGGGACAGCGCCCCCCCGTGGGGGCTCGGGGGCAACGCCCTCGAAAGAGAATTTTATTTTCAGAAGTCTTTGAATAGGTATGTTTCTTCCAACATATGCATTCATTCATTTCAAGGGACACATTTTCATATGGTTGCCTCCATTTCTATATATTTTGGGCGAATTCTCATTTGCAAAACACATTAAAAAATTCGTTTCTTCTCTCCTTTTCTCTTGGCATCATCAGTTTATTTGTTTTTTTGGTTTGATCAAATAGTCACGGTTTGAATCAAACGCCTCCATTGTATCTTAAGAGAGATTTTCTATCATACCCCAGTCGTGATTTTGTTGGATAGGGNCCTGAGAGAGATTTTCTATCATGCCCCGATCGTGACTTTATTGGAAAGGGAAGAAACATCTCTTAAAAGATAACGTTTTTCGTGTGTTGGAGTTCATTAGTTTTTTCCAGATTTTCTTACATATTTCCCAATAATATCTAGATGGTCAACGTGGAAGGTGACGAGACCCCATACATCATCCTAATTAATTCTCCAAAATATAGGAAATTCAGTCATTATTTAGCTAGTGATGGTTAATAATCAACAATAGAGATAACAAATATCATATATGAATTCATTGGACTGAATAATTTTTTGGTCCTTCGTTGAATGTCCATTTGAATTCTCAATTTTACATTATTATTGATCTAGATATGATACAACTGATCGTGTCAAGAAATAATATATTCAGTAATTGAACTTCTGGTTCAATACAATGTTTGCCATTTGAATAAATATTTAATCAAACAAAAGATACATTTAATTCTCGAAAATATGATTAACCATGATATAATCATATAAGAATCAATGTTCACATTGTATGTTTTCTTTCATGGATAAACTCAAATTCATAAATTACATATATGATATATTCTTCGAGACATGTACTACTTCGAAAACACATTGTATTTTACTTTTACTTTTTCAAGAGTAATATGTCAATATTTTTTTGAAATGTTGAAATTTTAATGTCATGCTCTTCACGATCAATAACATATTTTATTTAAAATATAAATTATGTAATGATTTACTTTTCAGGAGCAAGAACATAATTTATGCTAGATCTTATAAAATTATGCTTTTCGGGGTCAATTAATAATCTAATACGATATTGATATTTTGCAGTGTTGTGCTTCTTCACGAGCAACAATATGATACATATCAATTTAAGAATATAAAAGAGTATATAAAAATTAATTGGATTCACAAACCATGAACATCAATTAAACTATCTAATTGATTAATCAACTTATAATAATAATAATAATAATAATAACAACATTTCGAGATAAATCCTGTGGTAGAGGATTTGCCGAGAAGGTGGCAGATTACGGCGACGGTTATGGCGATTGGTGGTGCACGGTAGTATATTATGCACCGAGTATTTCCATGCATGAATTTTCCTAGTCCATTTTTTTTTTCTTTTGAGAGAATGTACAAGACTTTGAATTATTTAAAAAAAAATAAAGCTATCGTGCATCCCCTTTCTTTGTTCCATATTTTATGCGTCTCTTTAGACTTTTTTTTTTTTCATGTCATTCAAAACAATATTCAAACCACTAAATTTTCAAATTGGGGTTCGCTGAAACTATTTTAAAAAGAAGAGAAGTAAGAATTTTGAAACAATACTTTAGCGGTCAAGAAGTAAGAATTCAACAGAACCGAAAAAAATACACATGAAAATCACTGAAACAGGGACCAAAATTTAAAAGTATGGTGCTTAGAAATTGGGAATAATGGAAATAAGATAAAAACCCGCACGGCAAAAAGTGAACTTTTGAAGGAACAACCCATTTATCTACCAATGTATCTACATCTCCACACGTTTATTATTGGAGATGAAACAATTTCTCATTTACTCAAGTGTGAAACGGATACATTTGTCCATATATAAATACAAGAGAATCTAACTAACTTATTACAACTGTATGGTAACTAACTAGCATCTAATCTATACAAGTAACTAACTAGTATCTATACAATTGGAGCCAAAATATTGAGAAAAGTTGCAGCCATTAATTCTGTTAATTCTGGAGCAGCATGATGAGCTGAAGCTGGAGTTGGAGGTGGAGGCAACATAACGAGCTCTAATACTCTCATTCAAGATGGACTATGTAAATCAAGAATAGTCATCTTGGACATGAGAGGAAAAAGAAGAGACGATGTCAAAGGTTTGGTGAAAACATCATCCAATTGGTGTGGAGTGCGAACTGGTAAAAGCTTGATAAAACCATGATTGACTTTACCTCGAATAAAATAACAATCGATCTCTATGTGCTTTGTCCATTCATGGAAGATTGGGTTAGTGACAATGTGAATGACAGTCTGATTATTATAGAAAAATCAAAGTTGGAAGAGAAATCCTAACCATGAATCCAAACAATTTCACAAGCGAAGGATGCTAAGGCAAGGTATTCAGCCTATGCAGATGATTTGGAGATACTAGCTTGCATCTTAGACTTCCAAGGAATCAAAGAATTCCCAAGAAAAATATAAAAACAAGTGACTGATCTCCTTGAATCAAGGCATGCCCCCAATCAGCTTTAGAGAAAGCTTGAATCTGGAAAGAATAAAAAGCAACAAACATTGACCATGAGCTGCCTTGAGATACCGTAGGAGATGATGAGCAGCATCTAAATGAGGAAACAAACTGACTTAGTTTGTCAACAACAAAGGTAATATCTAGCCGAGAAATGGTTAGGTAGAGCAACTGGCCAACAAGTCTACGATACAATGATGCATCATCAAGAAATTTCCTTCAAATGAGCTGAGACTAGCCTTAGGATCCATTGGGCTGGTTTACAAAGTGTAGTGTCTCTGAGAAAGGAAAATGACTTTTTGTGATCTAGCTATCTCCAAAAAAGAAAGTATTTCAATTTTCCAAGATCTTTCAACTTAAATTGACTGTGTAAGAAGGCTTTTAATGAATCAATTACTTTAGTATCTGATCCTGTAATGATTATGTCATCGACATAAACCAAAAACGAAATGAAAGAAGCACCAATCCCTTTTGTAAATAATGAATGATCTGATTTAGATTGCTAAAAACTAGGCATTAAAAGAGCATGAGAAAACTTGGAAAACATTGCCTAGAAGCTTGTTTAAGACCATAGATCAATTTATGAAGTTTGCATACCAATTTCTCCCCCTTGAGAACCGACTATACACTGCTTAGAATAACCAATAGGTAGATCCATGTAAATTTTTTCAAAGAGCTCTCCATTAAGAAAGACATTGTTTACATCCATTCGAACAAGATGCCATTGTTTGACAATAGAAACAACATGAAGAGTTTTGACAGTTACCAATTTTGCTACTGGAGAGAAAGTTTCAATATAATCCAATCCTTCATGTTGATTGTAGCCTTTAGCTACTAACCGGGCTTTATGTCGGTCTATGTTGCCATCATATTTAAATTTTATTTAATATACCCACTTGCAACCTGTGGAGTGCTTATCCTTAGGCAAAGTCGTGATAGACCAAGTGTGGTTAGCTTCCATGGCTTTCAAGTCATCAATCATAGCCTTTTTTCAGTGATCATACTTCACTACTTGGTGATAAAATTGTTGCTCAAAAGTGGAAGATATATTGAAGAGAAGAGATTTATGTGAAGAAGAAAAAGGTTTGTAAGACAAGGATTTGTATAAACGGCATAGAGAATTATGCTGAGGAGGAGAAGTGTTGGTTAATAGATTGCACTGGAAGTCCCTAAGACAAGGATTTGTATAAAGGGTATAGAGAATTATGTTCATAACTAAGTCGTTCACGGCGTGATACAGTGACAAATTTGCATCACTTTTGTGTGGAAATGTTTTATGCCATCATTGGTATGCAACTTCAAGAGCTGAATGATCATTTTCTGAGGTAAATAATGACTTGCTCCTCTGTGTCGTGTGTTTGTGCCCAAATAATTGATTTGCTGATTCTGAAATGAACAAAGTGATTTGATTATGTGAGTATTATTCGATAGATTTTGATGTAATAGATATCTCGGAACTTGATGATAAACTTGATACATATATTTTTGACATGTGCGCGAACAAAGATTTTGGAGGATTACAGGACTTTAGTGATCTTGCACAGAAATTGGTTGCGAAAAATAAAAATGAAGTGTATCTGTTAGTTTATAAGCTTGTGGTATTGGCCTTAATTCTTCCCGTGGCTACTGATACAGTTGATAGAGCATTTTCTGCAATGACTTATGTCAAAAATCGTCTGCTCAATCGAATCGAAGATCATAGGTTAAATGATAATTTGTTTGCATATATTGAGAATGATGAGTTCGACAATATTGAAAACGATGTAATTATAGAACGTTATCAAAACATGAGAACACATGAAGAACAATTATAATAAGATATCGAATACTTTAATTTTTTCACTTATTTTTTGCAAGTTTAATTGTGCTCCATTGACTCAAAATGTCTATCTGCCACTGCTACTAGTTGTTGTTAATTAAATAAGAATAAATTAGGAAAGTTTTTGACAAAAATTACTTTTTCAATAACAGTAAATAAAATTTCTTATTTCGTGTGAAAAATAAAATCAGTATTACTTGATACTTGAAAGTCTAACTGCTCCCTTACCTATACAGATGGTTTGCATGGGCGGACGCAGGGGTGGCCTGGTGGTCACATGACCCCTCAACTTTGTTCCTTTTTTTACACCATTAAATTTTCTATGTTTTTGTTTCAACATTTGAAGTATTATGGGATGTGACACGAAATCGAAATATTGCATTATTAATACCATTTCGAAGTGCTCACTATCTAATTTTCTACGTCGTTAATGACGTATGAAACAATCAATCGTAGTAAATGTTATGACCTGTCAAAGTAGACTGTCTACAATTAGTATTTTGAAAATTTCGATAAATGCAAAATTTAAAAATTCTCCGACGATTGTACACAAATCGAATTTACAAATTTCTTATGTCATCTCAAAACTTATTTCGAGAACTACATTATGACTTATCGAATAGTCCAAACAGATATCGAAAATAGTTAGAAATGTGTAAAACGTGAGTCATAAAGAAATGCGTTTAACTCGCATTTTCTTTTAAAAAATTCAATTATTTCATTAACATTTGTTATTTTTGGGATACAAATTTCTCAATATAACTTTCATCATTTTATTAGGAAATTTTATATGAAATATGATATCAAAAAATTTCGAAATTTTACATCCGAAAAAGGTCATAATCCATGTACATTTTCAAATGCAAAATTATATGGGGTATGATTTTTTTGGATATAAATTTTCGATTGTAAAATTTCTTCCAACTTTTTTGCAAGTTCGATTGTGCCCCCATAACTTTAAACTTCCGCGTCTGCCCCTGGTGGTTTGGATGGCGTTTTTCTTCTAAAAGTATGAGTTTTGGGATGTATTAAAGATACTTTCAAGCAAAAATATTAGGGTTTGTGTCGGCCATTTATTTAAATCAATGGCCAGATTTTTTACACGAATATCGTATTAAAATTGAATGTGAAATTAGCTTTTTTCTTTCTTTTAAACCCCTACAGCTTTAAGATGCAAGAAAAATATTTGAGTGAGCTTCTGGCAGCTAACCCAAATTAATTAACAGCTTTCCATTTTTCTCTCCCAATTTAATCACTTTCTATCACCGCGCATCCAACCTACAAACTCAATATTATTGTGTTACCTTATTAAAAGCCCGTAGAGAAAATTCTGTAAACGATGCTTATTTTTTCCATTCAAAGGTGACACAAAAAATGTAATACAATTCTTATTCTTGATTTAGAAATGGATTTTTCATCATCGTTTAAAAAATCATTTAAATCCCACGGTTCATACAAGCACACAAGAAGAATTTCGGCAGGTAATTCAGAAGAAGATACAAATGCCGAGCAACAGCCTATTCTCTCCTATCATCAACGTGATTCACGCACCGTAAACACCCACCATAAGTCTCTATCGCCCATCGATTTCGCCGACCGCCGGGAAATCATATTGAAAATCGATGGCGGAGATCGAAACACCGCCCCCAACAATAATAGCACTATTTGGCGGGAATCAAGCTTAGATTTCTGGGGAGACAAAGGGAATAGCAGCATGCAAAAAGGGTCATTCGATTTTCAACGTGGGGATGGCAAGGACGTGGTTGAAGATCCACCCTCCCAATTGATTGGCCAATTCTTGAATAAGCAACGGGCTGCTGGCGGAGAGTTGTCATTGGATGTGGAATTAGAAATGGATGAATTACGACATGATCATCGTAAAACCAGCATTATCGATAATACCAATATTAATCCTCGTTTTTCAATGCCCAAGGATTTGAAGGTTTCATATCAATCTCCTTCTATGAATAACAATACTAGTAGTGATTTGGTTGATATCGTGCGTGATAAACAAAAACATACTAGAGATGAGGATGATTCTTCTTCCGAAGAAGAAGAAGAAGAAGATGATGAACATGAGAATCAAAAACTTCATAATAGGAGGCCTTTGACGAACATGGAAGGTAGTGTTCATAATGGCATTGGTGATGAGGGTCAGGTTTTGACATGCACCTCGATTCAAAGGAGGGCTAGTGTGTTGGGAAGGTTGAAGACGAAGTCGAGATTGATGGACCCGCCTGTGGTACCCGAGAGAAGGTCTGCGAAGATAAAATCCGGTCCACTTCGTTCCGGGTTACCGGGAAGGGTATCCGGGATGATGTCAAAACCAGCAGAGGAAGAAGAGGAGGATCCATTGTTTGATGAAGATTTTCCTGATGAGTATAAAAAGGCAAAGCGTGATGCACTAACTTTGGCACAATGGATTAGTCTTATTTTGATTGTGACGGCCTTATGTTGCACTCTGTCAATTTCCAAGTGGAAAAGTAAACAACTTAGAGGACTTAGATTGTGGAAGTGGGAGGTATTGGTTCTTGTTTTAATTTGTGGGAGACTGGTATCAGGATGGGCTATTAGGATAGTTGTTTTCTTTATCGAGAGGAATTTCTTTATGCGAAAACGGATTTTATATTTCGTTTATGGAATTAGGAAAGCTGTTCAGAATTGCATTTGGCTTGGATTGGTTTTACTTGCTTGGCATTATATGTTTGATAAGAAGGTTGAAGGGAATAATGAGTTCCTTAGATATGTTAACAAGTTGATGGTGTGTATGTTGGTGGGAACATTATTATGGCTAGTGAAAACACTTATGGTTAAAGTTCTTGCATCTTCATTTCATGTCAGCACTTTTTTTGACAGAATTCAGGAATCATTGTTCAATCAATTTGTGATCGAGAAGTTGTCAGGGCCACCTTTGATTGAGTTACAGAACCACAAGGAGGAAGAGGAGAGGACTATGGCAGAGATTTGGCGCCTTCAGAATGCAGGGGTGACTCTGCCTTCGGAACTCAAAGCACATGCTTTTCAGGATGCTAGGAGTGGTAATATGATGAGCGCAGGAGGTGGAGGATTACCACCAAAAATTGGTGGCGGGGGAGGAGTAAGCTTCAAGATATCTGGACAGTTACCTAAGACTAATCAAGATGATCAGGGCATATCGATTGATCACTTGCACAAATTAAATCCCAAGAATGTTTCTGCTTGGAATATGAAAAGGTTGATGAATATAGTCAGGAATGGGGTTCTCTCCACTTTGGATGAGCAAGTTATCGATAACTCACAAGGCGATGAAGCTTCAACCCAGATTGGGAGTGAGCGAGAGGCCAAATGTGCAGCAAGGAAGATATTCAGGAATGTGGCTCAACCTAGGGCCAAGTAAGTCTTTACATCACCTCCTCTGTAAATTCGTGTTCTAATTTTGCCAAAGATAGTAAAATCTAACGTAAAATGCAGATTTAATTTGAGTTTCACTAATCCTAGTTTTCCATATTGTATGGGAACGGTCACTTCTTGGCTCTGATGCTTGATCCAAAACTAGATTCACACATAATTGTCAAATCAAGTACAATTGATTGTCCTTTCGGATTTGTGGTAATACAATACAAGTACACAGAGATCATATAATTTTGTGTCCTGACAGGTTCATCTACCTTGAGGACTTGATGCGTTTCTTGCGAGAAGAGGAGGCTTTGAAAACCATGAACCTTGTGGAAGGATCACCCGAAAAAGAAAAAATCAGCAAAGTGTGCCTGAAAAACTGGGTGGTACGTGCTGAGCCGTTGATCACATTATCTCAAAATTTTGGTTTGTACATTTTCTTGAACATAGCTCTAAAGAGGGTGATGTAACATTGTGTTTATGCCTGTTTCTTTAGGTTAATGCATTCAGAGAACGAAGAGCGCTTGCCTTGACACTTAATGATACAAAAACAGCAGTCAAAAAGCTACACCAAATGGTGAATGTCTTAGTTGGTATCATCATCTTGATCATTTCTCTCATAATACTGGGAATTGCAACGAGCAGGTTTCTGCTCTTTGTAAGCTCTCAAATAGTCGTGGTGGCATTTATATTTGGTAACATGTGCAAGACAATATTTGAAGCTATTATATTTGTATTTGTAATGCATCCTTTCGACGTGGGTGATCGGTGTGAGGTGGACGGAGTTCAGGTATACCCATAATTATCTTTGGTTTCCATTTACCATGATTAGGACATTTTCAATTCAATATCTTTAATTTGACAAATTTCAGATGATTGTGGAAGAAATGAACATCTTAACTACCGTCTTTTTGAGATTCGACAATCTGAAAGTTTTTTATCCAAACAGTACTCTTGCAACCAAACCTATCAGCAATTTCTATCGCAGTCCTGATATGGGCGATTCCATTGATTTCTATGTGCATATTGCTACCCCAGCAGAGAAAATTGCTATCATGAAGCAAAGAGTAGTGAAGTAAGTGTTACTGCCACTTAGTTTTACCTTTTGAATTTGTGTACAAAATGGCTCTGTGATTCAGTTTTATTTTAAGCAGTATGCTAAGTTTTTAAGTCATCATTGGCTAAACATGTTCGATGGCTGTAAACTGCAGTTATATTGAGAACAAGAAAGATCATTGGTACCCATCACCATCAGTGGTGTTGATGAATATCGAAGATTTGCACAAACTGAAACTATCGGTGTGGATAAGACACAGAATGAACCACCAGGATATGGGAGAAAAGTGGCAAAGGAGAGCCCTTTTGGCTGACGAAATGGTTAAAATTTTCAAAGAACTCGACATTGAATATCGATTGTACCCTCTTGACATCAACATTCGCTCCATGCCTCCTTTAAATGCTAGCCGGCATCCTTCGACATGGACTCGAGGCAATTGAGTGAAAATTGTTGGATGTCTTTTATAGTATGTTCATTGGACAGTACTATAAAATAAGATTTTAGTTTATTCTTTAATACTATACAATACTTATGTATAAATCCATTATTAAATTTCTATTTTGCACAATCTTTTCTGCTAGCTTTTGCTTTATAATATGTGAAGAGTTTGTAAATTGACGAAATGGTCTCTTAAATATGAATTTGTTGGCTCGTTATTTAGCTGTTGAAAGGTTTTATACGAGCATATTGTAATGGAGTTTCATGTGAAAGTGAAAACTCTTTTTATTTCAACTCTTTATTTTTTATATTCATTTTCAATCACATATTCACACAATAAAATATTTTACACGTAAATTCAAAATTTCTTTTAGTCTCACATTCTCCAAAAAAATCACTATTTAAAATATCATGTTCTCCCAATTTCTTTTTATAATGACCATCAAACAAGGGCACAATAACCTAAGGACCATGAAATTGTTAGAACTCAATTAATTTATTTCACAAGCTTGTTTTAAAAAAAAAGGGTTTATATGAGTAGTGGGCCGGACCACATGGAATATAGTGGGTCCCAATTAGATTAGATTTTGCATAACACTGTTTCCTAAATTCAAAATTAGGAAGATACAACAACAATAAAATGTTATTTGCCACCAATTGTGACTTCGAAACCCTTTAAATCTACTCTAAAATGATTACCATTCTCAATTTGTTACTTGTATTATCACCTCAATTTATGACTATTACTTCCAAAATTCGGATCAAATGTTACATGTCTTTATGCCCTGATAACATGTTACAAATTCAAGTTCACATGTCACATTTCATATGTTATAGGTCACAGGTAATAGTTCACAAATCACATGTCATATTGCATCGGTAATAAATCAATGTCCCCATGTCACAAATCCCAAAAAACTGGTCACGTGCCATAGATTAATATCACATGTAACAGTTTACAGGTTACGTTACATCTCACATATAACAGTTCATAGGTTTCGTGCCATAGTGCATATGTTACAGATCTAAAAGAATTGATCACAGTCATTGAATCAATATCACAAGCAATAGTTTATAGGTCACATTTAACAGTTCACAGGTCACATGCCATAGTGCACAGGTTACAGATCCATATCAACATGTCACATATCACAGAGAACTAGTCACGGGCCATTTGGATCAATATCACGGGTAACAAATGGATCTTTGTGCTTTCCATCACAGCAACTCATTGTTTACAGGCCAATGGAGCTTTTCAGCTTTCGCCTAACTCATGATTGGAGCTACAACACTGTTTCATAAATTCAAAAATATGAAGATACAACAACAATATAATGTTATTCGCCACCAATTATGACTTTGAACCCCTTCAGATCTACTCTGGGATGATTACTATTCTCAATTTGCTACTTCTATTATCACTTCAATTTGTGATTGTTGCCTTCAAAAATTCTGATCTACTGTGACGATAACTTTCAATTTCCTCAATAGGGAAAAATTCATATATCAGGACTTAAGTATACCCCAATTCAATTTTAAGAGAAAAAAGTCTAGAACTCAAAACTCAGGTGATAATTAATAAAATTAAATATAAAATTATTCTCATCCTACTCCATTCTTTCCGGTCCAGCCACAGTCATCTAATTCCACCCATGGCCATCCTCTCTTACAGTCATCGACATCTACCCGCTGAGGCATCCACCCCATCTCCATACCCTCTCACAGTCATTGGCATCCATTCGACTTGTTTGGATATAGGCGCCAATTCGAGATTCATGAGTACAACATCTCAATGGGTAACAACTTGTTTGTTTTTTAATTTAGCAAAACATTAACGAAATTTGACGGATTATCTAATTGATCCTCTATTAACGAATTTTTGGCTGTATGATTTAAACTGTATATAAACTATTACCTGTGAGGTTGATCCAATAGCATGTGACCAGTTTTTTTAGATCTATGACCTTTGGACATTGATCTTTTACATGTAATATTGATCTAATGGCATGTGACTAATTCACTTGAATTTGTGACTTGTATATATTGACGTGTTACCTATGCAAAATGACCTGTGAAATATTACTTGTGACCTGTAACATATGAACTGTGACTTACGAATTTGAATATGTGATATATTATTAGTGCACAAAGAAATGTAACAATGATATGTGACCAGTTAATATTAATCTGTGACCAATACAATATGACATGTAACCATAAATCAGTGATATGTGACCAATAGACATTAATTTTAATTGATCTGTGACTTGTGGACATTGATTCGTGACAAATGTTAATTGATTTATGACCTGTGGACATTGATATATGACCAACGCACAATGACACATGTGAACAAATTGGGATTCACCACAACCTCACCAACATCGACACCATAATTTGCAAATCACCAACCACCATCACACAACCACCACTATCAACCCCAACAACCAAAATAACCAAGCAAATCATCAAAGACCAAAACAATAAAAAAAAAAACTAACTAAAGTAAGGCCGCCTCACAATGATGCTCTTCACTAGGAGCATCGCTGCGAGGTGGCGCTCATAGAAATGGACCGTTGTGCTCTTCACTGTGAGCTTGTGGTGTCTTTGAAGTGAAAGAGAATGGGTGCGATGATGATGACGCCTGATTAAGGGGTGTGGGTTAGGTGGAGAGAGTGAGGAGAAAAGAGAGAGAGAATTATTTTTAGGGTTTTGGATGACATTGTGTTGGGTTGGGTTGGACTGGGTTAGGGTAGATTTTATCATATTATTATTAATATTAATAATTGAATTATCACATGATTTATGGATAGATTTTTGAATTATGATATTTAAAACATGTCTCAGTCTAGCCCTTGAACCTCATTATTTTCAAAATATATTTTTTTCTTCTTTTCAACCACACATTTTTTAATAAAATAATATTACACCCAAATTCAATTTTTTTTATTTTGTAACCGCACATTCTCCATTAATTTACTATTCAAAAATACATTATTATTTATTGGCCAAACAATGAGGCACACAAAGGGCTAATTTCCACTTTTGCATATAAAAGGAAGGGTTAATTAGGCCAAATGCCCTCCAAAACTAACAAATTAGAATACTACCCTAAAACTAATTAAAATCTTTAACCCCGTAAATAATACGCTCCAAACACCCCAAATCATCAATCATCCCCAACACTGGCCACGAAACCCTCCACTGTGAAATCATCTGCCCCAAAATCATCGAGCTCTGCTTCCTCTCCTCCTATCAATTTACCCATTCCAGCAGAATCGCCTATCTTTGGATTTTGTTCTCATTTTCTAGTTTTGATTAAAATGACAAAATTTATACATTTAAATTGGCGGTGATGGACTGATCACTTTGTTTTGAAAAGTCTAAAAGCTTCCTCAACTGGTAGAGCTTATTGATTTGCTTTTCCTCGTTATCTCAACTACACAACTATGCGTAGGGTGATGTTTTCATTTTGGAGCCCCAACCATGTAGCTCATATTAGGTAACATTAATTTTGGTGATTCTTGCAAAATTCCAGCTTCAGTGACCTGTTGTTGTTCAATTACACCTTGAAATTTGAAATTCGTGGAACATATCTGCATTTTTGTGTACATATGAAGTTATGTTGCTGTTCCTACCAACCGTTATGATAGATATATTACTAGCTGGCCTGGATGCTGAACTATTTTTCCAGAACAAATAAAAAAAGTGACATTGGGTGACTATTAGTTATGTTGGAGCTCAAATGGCTGTTGCTTGTTAACAAGCAGGCTCTCAGTGGCTTTGTTACTGAAGATACATGGGATTTATTTTAGTTTTTAAATTGATTTATGTATATTATGCAACTCTGTTTATTATTGTTGTTCATGTTCTGAGTTTTGATTAATATTTAATTTAAGTTGCTTTTTTCTAATTTGCAAAGTAGGCTGAGGTTTCGAATTGATGGAATGAGATACTGAACCTGATGTTTGTGTATGGATGGTGCATTGCAGTGGCTATAATAAGATTGAAAACTGGAATATTTTTTTATTTTGCTCTCACCGGGAAGTTGAAGCAGATATTTTTTGATAATGTGGCAAAAATTTTGACGTTTCTAGATAACGAATGCGAAATGGAGAAATGATGCTCTTTGCAGGTACACTTTGACAAGGGCACACCAGCACTTGCCAATGAGATCAAGAAGGCACTTGAAGGGAACGATGTTCTTGCTAAAATTGATGCCATGAAAAACGCAATTATGCTTTTGCTGAATGGTGGAACTCTATCTCAGCTCTTCGTCACCAGGCTTCTGGATACTTTTTATCAGATTCGAGCAGCTAGAGTTTGTTCCCGTGCTCTTTGGATCATAGGAGAGTATTGCCTATCTCTATTAGAAGTTGAGAGTGGCATTGCAACCATAAAGCAATGCCTTGGAGACCTACCCTTATTTCGATTTCAGAAGAAGCGAAGGTCACTGGCTCTACAAAGAAATCCCACCAGGCAAACTCCATTACTGTTTCATCTAAAAGGCCAACTATCCTTGCTGATTGGGACGTATGCAACTCAAAGTGCTGCCTCTGAAACCACTTTCTCCCCTTAAATTGTAGTTCAGGGATAGTTATTGGGCTAGGGATTACCCATCCTTTATTCATATATTTCTTCATAGTTAAGTTATTGAATTAATAAAATTACTCTGCATTTCTTGTTTGATTTTGCTTCTTGTTTGAGATTATAAAGGTAATATGAAGTAATCAATGAATTCATAGTGATAAATGAAGATTTACTCCAAAAACATCATTTCTGGTAGCTTGATTGAGTTCGTTTTGGATTTTTGTCACTTTTTTGAGTTTTTATCACTTTTTTTAATTTCTGTCACTTTATTGAATTAATTCCAAATTTTTGTTTTGTGTTTTGTCACTTTTTTTGTATTGTCTCTTTTATGAGTTTTGTCTCTTTATTGAACTAATTCTAANTATTGAATTAATTCTAAGGTTTTGATTATTGTTTTGCCACATTTTTGAATGTTTGTCACTTTTTTTAATTTCTGCCACTTTTTTGAATACTAGTGTACGTACGTGCGATGCACGTGCTACAGTTTAGTTGTGTATTTAATAGCGTAGAGTGATTTTAATTCTGTAAAATTCACCGGCACAAAACGTTGTTTTCTATTAATAAAGGCATCTCAAAGACAGAATAAAAATTGAAAAACTAACCTCCCTTTACCTGACAGAATCTATAGAAATCCTCAAGGTATGCTTTATAGAGAGTATTCCTCATAATTTCAATATTCATGTCATCCAACATACCTCAATCATGAATCTAAGAATTATGACATCTGTTGCAGCATAATAAACAGACGTATAATTTACCAATGCAAGCTGACATTAAAAGGAAATCTAGAGGAGCACAATAAGAATCATCATTTATCAATAGTACACATTATAAAGCCTACCATTTTTCTCTGATGCAAAAAATATTATTTCATAATTCTCAAGCCTCTATTTTCCTGCTGCTTTTGATTTTTACAAAGTCTGCTCCCATGCTGCAATGATAGCATATATCTTTTATACAAGCTTAGCATCTAAATTGAGGTAATGTTAAGCATGTTTGGCTAAGCATAAAAAGGTTATGAGTAAAATAAGTTCTAAAGTAAATAATATTTTTTATTGATTAAAGTTGGAAAAGATAGTAAGTTCCAGTAAAGTAAGAGTGGCAATGTGGCATATGGGTGACAAAAGTTATTTCTAAGTAACTTTACCTTTTTTTTCTACGCTAAGCCAAATATGCTTTATAGACCAGCGGAAGAAATCTAAATAAGCTTCTTTGTCAAAATCCTATATCTAATTTCAACGGTGGAAAATAAGCAAACAAGTAAATTACTAGCAGAAAACCAAATAAGACAGGTAGAACATAAAACAACATGTAGACAAAAAAGATGTTCTAAAGCATACCTCATTCAGAACTCTAAGATACTTAAATCATATTTCCCCTGACGTAGCATTCCGGCATCCACCAAAACCTATCTCCATCCTACCGTATAAAACCATTAAAAAAACCATAAAAAAATCAATCAAAAGAAAAGGAAAAAGGGTAAAGAATACATCAAGGTTTCATAATAATAAATTCAAGAGAAGAGATCAAGAACCTCGGAGGTACATATAACTCAGTCATGCAACACTCAAAAGTTGAATAATGTTAATTATACATTCTCAGTCATGCAACACTCTATAACAAATAATCCAACTCATAAAAGTCAAATCAATCTGCATGCAGATCACACAATAAAACAGGTCTATTTTTGGATGTGTAGTAATTTACCCTAGGTCAAACCATCATTTTCAATTGATATGAACAATTCATATACCACAGAAAACTTGTATTGTCCCATGACACATATTTAGCAGGTACCTCATCTTTGACATTTAAGTCCAGATTGTACAAAATCACCTGCTTTCTATGCGGAAAATGCAGGTACCTCATCTTTGACATTTAAGCCCAAAAAAAATATGCAATGATAACTTCAATGCACTGGTAGTGAAGTCCAAAGCACTAACACAAACTGGTCCCTTAGGTACTGGGAATTCAATGTGATGCCATTAATGAGGTTTGAGTGTTTTGCACCCATAATGCATTTAAATATCTATGAACTTAGCAGATATGGAATGAAAGTGAGAGGAGAATTCAACTTACCGGATGTAGAATAATGTCCAAGGCAATTGGAAAATTGTGACAGGCATTGTGCAAGCGACTACTCACATAATAGTTCAACCATTAATTGCCAATCAGTAGATAAGCACAAATATCATAAGCAAAGCACTCACCAACTCTGGAACATAATCTGTTCCTTCTTTGACCTTTAGACTCATGATCTTGAATTTAACCTTGCTCTTCTCATCCATAGACTTTTCATTGTTCTCTGGATTCTCCACGAACTTGAACACTGTCTTACAAATGCATATTCATAATAAGATGGCTTCAAACAAACTAAAATTATGCATAAAGAAGTATTTTAACCTCGGTGCGTGTATACACCCATTAAAATTAAGTTTTTAAAACGGTCTACCATTGAAAGAGGCTAATTACCAGTAGCAACGAGACTTTCTCCAGGAGCAAGAATACCTCCAGGGGGACGCATCTAACAACTCTTTGGGCGCGGTAGTTTGAAACTATAAACCAAAAACAGAAAAATAAAAACAGGTGGGATCAGCAACTTCACCACACTGCTTGTCCACTTACATTGCGAGATTGCCAATATATACTTGTCTAATGATCAAACAGGGTGAAAGCACGCATCAATTGATCAGTTCTATAGGACAGCATCATTTTTTATTTTAGTATATTATAATGGAAATTGCTAATATTGTATAAAACAATAATTTGTAGTACAATAATATAAATACATTGCAGTACTGAAGAAAACATTGTGCTGCTGTATATCAAATAATTAATTAACAAAAAAAAAGGAGTATTGAACATGCAATGGCATGGAGAAGATTCCTAAAAGAAAGAAAGAAATGGGGCTGCATCAACCGATTTCTTTAAATGCANTTGTTGTACAATAATATTAATACATTGCAGTACTGAAGAAAACATTGTGCTGCTGTATATCAAATTATTAATTAACAAAAAAAAGAGTAGTGAACATGCAATGGCATGGAGAAGATTCCTAAAAGAAAGAAAGAAATAGGGCTGCATAAACCGATTACTTTAAATGCAATGTGAGACTTGCTGGAATTCTTAATCCTGATAGCACTCATCGCCTGCTTTCCCGGTTCATCTGGAAATATATACACGCACATAAAAGCACAAACAACCAGTCAATCAGCACTTGAAATATATAAAAACTTCAAATACTACAGATACGGTAAATCGGTTTTCAAAGAACTCTGGACCAAGTAGAGGATAAGAACTGTTTCCAATCCTAACGAACAAAATGAGTAATGAAAAATGCACAGGTTGTTTATTCATCAATACCCGTGTTGAAATCAGTACATTTAGTGTGATATGGTGACAATTTTGACTATAACAACTACCGTACTTAAGCGCTGAAAGTTACCTTGAGATTATTCTCTGACAAAATAGCAGTGTCACTTGGAGGGTAGTTATTGGCATTGCTGCATATATTAACAATTCTCTTTCAATATCAGAAGAAAGCAAGTAGTTAAAAAAGACAAGCCCAATAAAAAAATAACATAAAAATAAATAATTGAACTTCAAATATTATCTGAATCATATCTGATCTTTGTTAGCAAAAAGTTTCACAGTTTTAAGATCTGGAAAATAACCAGCACTTGGATTAAGTATGAAATTAATACAACAAAAGAATTTGCTTGCCTTTGAGATTAAAGGTTTCTTCTTTGGCATAATTTTACAGTATTTCTTCGCAATTGAAGAAATCTGTAGTCAAAAATTAGGAAAAAAACTGAAGTGATCAACCAACAAACCAATTTGCAGTCTAATAATAATCATATTTATTAAGCACCTAATCAATCTTAAGAGGATCTCCTTACACAAGGCATTCATCAGCTAGAATAATATCTCCAAGTTTGATATTGACTATGACTTCCTTGTTACCATATCACAGGAAGAGTGCCTCCAATATGAGTAAGAAAAGAAAGAAAGCTCAGATAAAGAAAAAACGTCACTTCCAAAATAATGCAAGACAATGTAGAGAATGTTTTAGATCTGGTACATGTTGATATGTTCTTTAAACAAATAGTCATTTATTTAACTGCTAAAAAGAAAATCTTTCTTACCTTCAAACGTCAACTGTCCAACCCTCTATCATATGTTTTTCTCTATGCGTGTAAAATGAGTACCTATAACACAAATTAGAGACAAATAACAAATGATAAGGAGAAGAAAATGATGAAATAAGAGAGCACTTGAAGTATCAAACCCAGATTATTCACAGTACCAGTACCGGGATAGCTTTAATTATTAGAACATCAAAATCATGTGATCTCATCAGTTATAACACCTAGCATGTACTGCAATTTCACATCAAATTGGTTACATGGAAGAAATACTCGAGCCAAAGTGGCTCACAAATATAACATACTTTAGAAACGCTAAATGCACTACAAGAGAAATCAGAAATTATAATCATTTTATGAGTATGAAACCTTGATTTGAGCTTAACTTAAACTGAAGAATTCCCAAGATCATTATAGATGGAAAAAAAAACAATTATATTCAAGCATATGGTGGTCAAAGAAATGCTCTCAAAAATGTAGGGGAATGTTTATCATTAAATTTTGCTCTATGCCTCTATAATTTGTTTGTAAGTAATCAAGTGGTTTTTGGAAGAGTTAGTGTACCGACAAACATTAAAAACTCAGTATATTGAAGAAAAGGACTCCAATGAGCCTAATAGCACATTCCGGCACTTGAGATCAAAATGCACAATCCCGCTCTTATGCAAATACTTCAAACCCTGGAGGATTTCCCTTATGAACAAAACTATGACTTCAAACGATCGGATTGATGATGAGTCTTAATTTAGTTTTAAAAAAGCCTATAAAAATCTTTCCCAACTGAATACACAGTAAACATTCGAATAAATAAAAGTTGTGCAGGTTAAAGAATAAAAACTATCAGAACTTGAAAAGCATTCCGAAAATACCTGTTTGAGTCGACTCAAAACTCCCTCCCTCTCAGAAGATTCCACAACACTCTCATAAAGTCTTGAATCCACCAAAAACTAAAAGAAAGAAAGAATAAGACACCCCAAGAAAATCACAAACGAACCAAGAAATTTCAATTTTCAATTATAAAACTATTACATACAAGGTTGCATGTAAAGTTCTGACCTCCAACACAATCTCTCCTTAGAGAGTTTAAGTGTTTCCAATGCTACAACGAGCAACAACCTTACCATCAAGAACCAAATCAACAGACAACAATACCAAAACAAACAAACACCTAAGTGGGCCTGTGAAAACAAAACAAAGGGCCTGCACCAGCATCAAAAACCAAATCAATCCAAAAAGCAGGCCCAAAACTGAGAAAATCACGAGGCAGGGGCACAGGCAACAGAGACGGAGATGCAGAGAGCGAAGAAATCGCCTCCCTTCCTAAATTCGCACCAAGTCCGTCACCTGGAGACCAGAATAACAACTGAGTGGCTAATAATCCGGATGAACAACTGAAATTGGCACAAATCTGCAACCAAAACCGGATATCCAGTCGAGTGTGAGAAGACCCCAATAGGGT